TCAAAATCTTATGAAATATCACGGTGTTACTTATTTCACCAATTGGTATTAGTGAGAAATACAATTAATTGCACTCACTCTGGTTAGTGACTGGCTTTTGCGGAGATTATCCTCATCCAAAACTGTTCATGTCAGAAGTAAGTAGATTTTAGTAATTTTTTCCCTAACCAAGATATAGCTATTGGATAAACAAGCAAGTAAAAGAGAAATCTATTTCTAGAATACTGATATTGAACATTTTCCATTTGGCTTGATATGTCTTAGCCTGGTCTATTTGGAAACACTTCTTCTTTTCTGGTTTCGTGAAATTATATGGATTCGATTTTCTTCATCAGTTAAAAAAGTAGATTCTCCTGCAAAGAAATTTGAACTCCACCATTAAGAAGTACTTAGAGAAGGATCTAGACGGAATTATTTATTCCTACCTATAAAATTGGAATGCTTTTATGTGCTAAAATATAAACAAAAGAGCATGAAATTTGGGGTAAAGAAAACTCCACCGTGTCCAAGGGTTCTCATGTTTCTATTTCTCCATATTGTCTATGCCATTTCATGTGGTATTACTTTACAAGCTCCGTATCTACTTCTTGTAATCCCACTCCAGCTGCACCAAAGGTTCTTCATGATGCTTGGAGTATCCAACATGCCAACTGAAAGTTATGTTTCCTCTTGCTGAAATACTTGCATCACTATGCAAATTATCTCAGGTTCCATGTGTGGATGCAAGTGATTTGAAATCTTCAGTATAAAAAGTATCACTAAATGCTACTTTGTATGTGGAAATAGATATGAGTTGCTACTAATATTTTGTCCCTGCAAGGTCGAAAACTAATCTGTTTTGTTTATCCTAAATAGATGTCAAACGAGATTTGTTGCTATGCTTTTAGGTTTGAGGACTAAACTCCCACCAGAGAACAACCATAAGAAAAAAGACAAGATGTTTGAGGTCTAGGCGCGTCTTCTTTGGAGCTTAAGAATCTCTTGACTGAAAAACCTTGAAATGTGCTTTATCACAGTCTAAATATTTCCATTTCAAACTTCTCCATTTCTACTGTCTGGTTGAAAAAGATTTGTATTGTTATAAGGTGGCAGTCAAACATATTTTGGTCTCTTGCTTCGTTTTGTTACATAATCAATGTTCTATCTGGGCTTTTTTTCTTGGTTTCTGGATATGTTTAGTTTTCTAGAATCCTTTTTTCCTTTTCCGGATATGCTTAGTTTTCTTTAAATGCTTTTAATTAAACTTACCCTTAGTGGTCTACCTTGGAAAGCTAAGTGCTCGGTTGCAAAAGTAGTCTGTCTTCCTGAGAATTGGAATCTTTGGAGGGATTAAGGAGATTTAGTATGTCGAGATCATACTGCAATTATACTTGCAATAATACTATCTGTAGAGAAGGTTGATGTAAATATTTTCACAATGTTATACATTTGTTATACTTGCATTACCTATCAAAAGTTGTTACGCTTTTGTTAAATTCTGTTACAACAAGGAGCAGAAAAATGTTCATATGTCATCCATTCATTTTGCAACATGTCCAGTACATTAGGCACTGTGTTTGAATATGGTCGTCAAGGGTTTCGGCTCACTAGTGTGTGGGAAAATGGATTGTTTATGGATTCATATGTGAAGCGTGTTTTTAGTAGGTATTTGATCCAAGTTGATTTTGGAAAGTTTATGCTGATAATTGTTTCCTAACTTGTAATGTGCAGCTGAAGTTGTCACTGCTAAGTCATGGGAGAAATTGATTCTGAGCAGTGATATTCCTGTTCTTGTTGAATTTCATGCCACTTGGTGTGGCCCATGCCGGATGGTTCACCGAGTAATTGATGAGATTGCAGCTGAGTATTCAGGGAGATTAAAATGCTACGTACTCGATGCAGATAGTGAATCGCAAATTGCTGAGGACTACGATATCAAGGCTGTTCCTGTGGTCTTACTGTTCAAGAATGGGGAGAAATGCGACTCTGTCATCGGAACAATGCCTAAGGAGTTCTATGTGGCTTCGATTGAAAGGCTTCTAGCTTCTTAGATGTAGTTCCCTCCATTAAAAAGACCGTCATAATAGCATATCAAGTTCAACACACAAACTTAATAACTCTCTTTTGAATTCTCTTCCCCTCTAATGTCTTGTAATATTCTATGCATTTGCTTTTTGTATTGTTATTTCTCTGTGAATCGTCGGCTCGTTTTTCCTTTTCCATACTAAGAAGAATCATTGGCTCTCCATGATAGCACTTCTTGCCACTTTCTTCACAATGAAATTTGTATAGGGTCTGTGAACTTGTAAATAGTGACTGCATTTGCTTACTAAAATTGTCTTTTTGTTGTGTTGTGACTTGTGAGTTACTAAGCTTTGTTGAGAAATAAGTATTATTCTGAACATTCTAATAAACGCCTTTTGGATATGTGAACGCCGGGGTATCTCCAGGTCTGGAATGTCACTCTGTGGCCAGAAATTGTCAAAGCATTAATCTTCCTACCGAATTGTAGCAGTTGCTTTGTAGTATGCAAGGGGAATAGCTTTTATCTAGGGAGAAAGGGGTTAAGTTGGTCTTACTACTAATAGAAATTTTTAGATTTTACACTACGTTATCTTTTGCTCTAATTTAACTCACACCCAGAAGAATAAAAAAAGGTCTCATTTTGCCTTGAACCTAACGGATCTTCAAGTTTGAAGCATGACGGAAGGTAATTCTAAATAATAGCCAAAAGTCAAAAGCAAAAGACAAAATTGAATATATTTTTTTGAAGTATTTCGACACGTGAAGTTCATCCATTTGACACTAAAGCTCCATTGATACGGTGACAAATACAAAATGATTTGTTAGTGACAAAGATATGAGTAGACCCAAAGTATAATGGAGAGAAAAAATCTAACATTTTGGTTAGTACATGGGGAATAACCTAGAATATGAACCAATTTTGTAAATGTGACATAATGTTTTCTTATAAGTTTTATCTCTTAATTGTTGTTAATTCTTATGTAATCTTATCTCAATTTATCACTTAATTATAGTATGTTAGTATCTTTTGATGCACGCATTAAATCCAAAAATAGTTAGTTCAATAAAAAAAACACATCAACTGTTTGTTTTCGGATTGAACAGGCGATGACTCAATTTTAAAACTAATATTTTTATTTCAAATGAGGCGAGTGTAAAAAGGGAAAGCCCTTCCAATTTGACCTATAACTTACCCACATCCCATGCATATCACAAACTTAAGTATTTTGCTATGGTTAAGTAATAAAATTGAGGTGATGCTATGTATTACTTCCTCTGTACATTTATATTTGTGCATTAGATTAAAAATATATTTTTATTTTTACTTATTTATTTTAACAAATTAAGAGAAAAATAATCTTTTATTTATGTTTTACCCTTATCATTAACTACTAATTCTTCAAATCATTTCTCAAGATTTTTTGAAATTCTATTATTTATGGATAAAATTATAAAATACGTACTTTATTTATTTTTTGTTAAGGTGACACTTAAAAGTGAACGGATGGAGTACTAATTAATTATTTTTAAATGATACTCCCTCCGGTCCACAATAAGTGATTTTTTGGCCTTTTTTTGTGGTCCAAAATAAGTGATTTTTTCAGATTTCAAGAATAAATTAATTATTTTTTCCCTATATTGCCCTTGGAGTAAATAATATTGGAGTATGTTTTAGGGGTATTTATGTGAAGAGATAATAAAGGTTAATATGGTCAATTTTATTGCTAATTAATGTTAAAAGATGAATTTCTTAATCTGTGTGAAAACATTCAAAAAATCACTTCTTGTGGACCGGAGAGAGTATTAATATAGGGAGTATTAATGTACTCCCTCTGTCTCATATTATATGTCATGATTCTCTTATGCACGCCCCTTAAGAAAAATTAATTAGGATGAGATTTTGACTACTTTACCCTTATTCGTGTCTTAATATTTAATCTTTCTTCATTGAATATTATCCATATTTTTACTAAATGTGAATATAATTGATTTGCTTTATAGAAAATATGAAGAGACACCTAGGATAAAATTAACAAATCAGTAAAATTAACTCTTCCAACAGATATTGCATGAAATGGAATTCATCTTTCCTTCAAAATATTTTCAAACGAGTGATTTGAAAATTTTCTTTCAATATCATCTACTCTAGCAGAATTTTGGTTTGAATAGACTTTTATAAAGAATTTCGGTATTTAAAGTATTGATTGCATTAGTGTAAACATGATTAAAGTGTTTAAGATAACAAGGTTGACTTCTTGGTATTTGAATAAAATTATCTATAATTAAGGTGTTTGTATTTTCTAGGATAATTATTACTAAAGGTAAAAAAGGAAAAATATAATCAATTTTGTCTTGAACTTCTAAAATGACAAATAATTTGAGACAACTACTTTTAGTAACCATGACTGTTAATATGAGACGGAGGGAGTATATAAAAACATAATTTTGGGATGAATTTTACTTCCTCCGTCTCATATTAATAGTCATGGTTACTAAAAATAGTTGTCTTAAATTATTTATCATTTTAGAAGTTCAAGATAAAATTAATTATTTTTTTCCTTTTTTATCTTTAGTAATAATTGTTCTTTAAGATAGAGATAACACATAAATAGAATAAATATTCAACGAAGAGAGATTATATGTTAAAATATAAATAAGGGTAGAATAGTCTAACCCTTTCTTAATTAATACTCCCTATGTTTTAATTTATGTGAACATATTTTTTTTTAATCCGTGCTAAAAAAGTAATAATTTTTCTTATTTGAAAATAATTTACCTTTATGCAATGATTTATAGTCATACAAAATATATGTGTCTTATTTTATATCACAAATTTAAAAGTCTTATATCTTTTCTTAAATTATGTGTGCAATTAAATGAGTGCACATAAATTGAAACGAAATAAATATTTTTTAAGAACGTATAAATGAGAAATATAGACGGAGGGAAAAATAATAGGCGGATGTCGGTTTAGTAATAAAATCGATGAGTAAAGCAGTAAGGGTGTTTCCACGGCCCATATTCCAATTCAGATGTCTGCCCTTTTCTAGCGCGTACATACAAGCAAGGGAAGAGTTATCAAGTGTACTGAATAGAGATTGTAAACTCAAAATCACAGTTTTTTTTGGGTTTCGTACTTCAGAATCAGCATCTGTATTTTGCAGCTCATCATTTCTTTCTTCTTCAGGTACTCTCCCCCTTTCTTTTATTCGCTACACGTGGGTTTCCGTATTTAAATCCCATCCCCAGTTAAGATCCTTCAATTTCCAATTTCTCTCTACATGCGCGCGCGCGCGCGCGCGCGCACACACACACACACACACAATGACACGTTTGATTTCTTGATAAGATGATCGTCTTTATGTCTGCCGTTATTTTCTTGAATTTACCCATAAGTGAATTCAATGGATTCCAGTTAAACTTACGAAACTACTTTATTTAATTATCTCGAGTTGTTGGAATTTTGGATTCTCTTGAATATAGCTGAATGGTTATAGATGATTCATATAATCGATGCCAACTAATTGGGGATTGCTGTATAGTTGATTGAGTTCATTATTGGAATTTCTATTTTTTTTTTTTTTTTTTTTTTTTTTTTTTTTTTTTTTTGTCTTTTGACCAGATCAGTGATTGCTGCTGCAAGAACACTTTCTTGTTTTACACTGGGAAGTTCTTCAGTTTTCTGGCCGGCCTTTACTTTGTGTTGATGATTTGAGAATTCGAAAGTGGTTTTTTTAGCTTACTTTCTTAAAAGATACTATATATTTTGGAGAATTTGGGACTTGGGACCCAAAGCTAGCTATTGCAGGCTTAGAGCCCAAGGGTATTTAAATCCATCATTCCAATCAATGATTCTAATGTGGGTTCCAAGTCCCATAATCCATTACAAAGTATGCTTTGGAAAAATTAACAGAACTCGGTAGAAGTTTTAATGGGAACTAAATAGCCCATTGTTAAGATGTTCCGCTTTTAGATTGCCGAAAATGTTATTGTATTAGTTTTCATCCTGAGCAAATTGTGATGACTGATTGTGAAATTATTGTTCTTGAGGCTGCATCAGTATTAATGAAAGTGTTTTGGAAATACTTCTATTTCCATGGATTTTGTATCTAGTCATTCATTTAGCTAGTTGCATTTTATTGGCCATATACAGGTAGCCAGCGACTAGACAGCTTTGGATGATATACTGATGGCACTTCTTCCTACGTCATCTTTTGGATTGTCGTCAGAGTCCTTGGAACAAAGTGGGAAGCAGATGGCAAACACAAACACGGAAGCACTAGCACCTCTCTCCCTGCAAAGCTCAAATTCTTCACAGGGACCAGTGGCAATTCTTTGGGACATCGAGAACTGTCCTGTTCCAAGTGATGTACGCCCTGAGGATGTTGCTGGCAACATCAGAATGGCTCTGCGGGTACATCCTGTGATCAGAGGAGCAGTTACAATGTTTTCTGCCTTTGGAGATTTTAATGCTTTCCCCAGGCGATTAAGAGAGGGCTGCCAGAGAACTGGTGTTAAACTTATAGATGTCCCCAATGGCAGGAAAGATGCAGCCGACAAGGCCATCTTGGTTGACATGTTCCTTTTTGCTCTTGACAATCCCCCACCCTCGTCCATTATGCTAATATCAGGAGATGTTGATTTTGCTCCCGCACTTCACATTCTTGGTCAACGTGGATACACTGTGATCCTTGTCATTCCTGGGGGGGTTGGCGTTTCGTCTGCTCTATGTAATGCAGGGAGGTTTGTATGGGACTGGCCAAGTGTGGCTCGAGGTGAAGGTTTTGTGCCCCCTGCAAAGGCCTTGATTCCTTGTCGTGGTGGTGGTGTCTCAGACATTGCTGGGATTCTAATGGGTTGTTGCCAGATAAATGACAGCCCATATGGTCAGAATGAAGATGAAGCAATAGTGTATAGGGGCCTCTCACAAAGCTACTATAATGCAAGGGATTTCTCAATGATATCACATTCGCTGGCTGAGTATAATAGCACTTCAATTTCCACGCCATGTTATCCTACGGGTATGGGAACTCAGAGTCTTCCACCTGGTTTAAATGAAGTTTCAGCTGGAGGTCCATCTTCACATGACCAGAGTGACTTGACGTGGGTGCAGCCTGGGGATGTAAATGGTTTGAAGTGTCAGCTGGTGAAGCTGCTTGAATTATCTGGCGGCTGCTTGCTTCTTACACGTGTTCCTGCTGAATACCAGAGAATTTATGGGAGGCCACTGTATGTTTCAGAATATAGGGCAGTTAAGCTCGTGAATCTTTTCAAGAAGATGAGTGATGCAATATCTGTTGGGGGGAAAGGCCAAAAGAAGTTTGTCTACCTCCATAATTCTTGTGCTGTACCAAGTGCTCCTCCCATAACTATATTAAAGAGGGATAAAGGAAAAGGAACACAAGAGGGAAATGCCGAAGTTGTGACTGGGGTTGGATCTTCGGATGAGTTCTCGGATGATGAAAGAGCACTCATAGAAGAGCATGGAAGGAGTGGTGAGAAATCTGATATGGGTGCAACAGTTGAAAAAAGTCTTGAAAATTTCAAGTTTGAGCTTCAAGAGATACTTGTGAGCTACTCTTGTCGGATTTTTCTTGGTTGCTTTGAGGAAATATATCAACAAAGGTACAAGAGGCAACTGGACTACGAGAGCTTTGGAGTGGCTGAACTTGAGCAGCTACTAGCAAAGGTGAAAGATGTAGCGATTGTGCAAGAGGAGCCAGTTAGCAAGAGGAAGTTTCTGGCTGCTGTTGGTGGCTAGAAGTGTTTGTCGTTTCATTTCCTGACTATTTACTATCTTAACTCCTTGAGACTTGAGGTATTTGTTGTTGCTACTTTGTCCTTGTACTTTTTGTTTTCTCTTCAGTATGATGAGGAAAAGCTGAAGTCATGTTGTTCGTTCAATAATGTCAGAGGTCCCAATGTAACACTAGAATACTGAAACTGATCTAACCACAATGGGAGATCTCTGTGTATATTTACCTCTCGCTGCTTTCATCTAAATACATGCTAGAAGGTGTAAATTATACAAGCTAGTCTGTGCAGGAGGTGCTTTTTTTTTCTCATCGTGGTAAAGCAGAATTTTCATTCTAGGAATTGCTTTTTTATGGTAGTAACTTGGATCTGAATTTTGCTTCTAAATTCAGTGAGATGCATTTCTCTCCCCATTTCCTTCCCAAGTCTATGAAATACTCAAAGATTTTCTTAAGTGTATTTGCTGTGAGAAAGCTTTTCTTGAGCCGAGGGTCTATTGGAAATAGCCTCTCTATCTTTATAAGGTAGGGGTAAGGTTTGCGTACGCACTACCCTCCCCAGACCCCACTTGTCGGATTTCACTGGGTATGTTGTTGTTGTAGTTGCTGTGAGAAAGTGTTGAACACTCTTAGCTCATCTCATGGTTCTTGCAAACTCTCTGCCGCAAAGAGACTGTTATCAAAGTTAAGCAATCTGGCGTTCCGATTTTGAAACTTTGAGTAAACTGAGTTAGGTCCTAAGGAACAACTGCTTAACCATTATCTTTCACGTATAAAGAATATTTTTTTCTTACAAAAAGAGCTGGAATTTTAGATTACTTTTTTTCAAAAGATTCTTGAATGTGCTCTCTCTGGGACTCTTTTACAAATAATTGTAGTTTTCAAGTCCAGCCTGAAGCTGCGTCCTAGAAGGGTTTCATTTGAATCGCGTCAAGTTACTTCCATTTCAAGCTAATTATGACTGGGCTGCTATCTTTATTTTACTTTAAGACCTTTTTCTTTTATATTATGTTTATCATCTTAGTACCTTTATATTTTTTAGACAGTAAAGAACAATACTTACCAGTTTGATTGAGTCAAAGTTGTTCGGAGTAGTGAAAGTCTACCCCTTCGTAAAGGCTCTTAAGCTTACCAGGGGGAAGAGATGCAAGGACCATATCTAGTATGCTCAAAAAAGTTTTTGGTAAAATTTTTACTAATTTGGGGTGGGGGGGTGGGGGTGGGGGGGTGCTGGCTAACTTAAGTTTTCCTCTTGGGTGTTTGCCATATGTTGAGAGGTCAATGATAAGGCGGAGATAACAAATCAATTAGCAACATTTCTCGAGGCATATTAATCTGTTTTTCCTTTTTTTTTATTTGGTATATTTAATTGTTGTGCACTATGAAAGGACAATTATGGATGTATTCACCTGCTAAGGAAAGAAGTGAGCTTCCATGATGGAAAGCATTGCATGCTGTACTACTAATGTGAAATTCTTAGTATTACTTTTGGTGCCTTCTTAGTTACATCTGACAATATTATCTTATCTGGCATTGGCATTGGCATTTCCAGCTTAAGCCTTGTGCATTGGAGGGATGTTGAAGTTAAAGGACTCCCCATTCTAACGCTTCCATGATGGTGTCAATTATGGCAGGCCAGTCTTGCAAAAGCAGATCATTTTTGTCACTTCTTTCAATTGGGTGATGGTTTGTGTAGCGTATTGAAGCTCCTGCAGAAGTCTGTGATGGCAAGTATAGTAAACTTTGGTTTGGGAAATACGTGAAGGGTAAAGGTCCCAAATGTGATCGATTGCTTACCTCGTATTACCATCCATATCTGAAATGAGCTTTAAGTGCATGTCGAGCAGCTATAAAGGATTGAATCTGGTCGCTTGAACATCTAAATGGGTGGAGATATGCAACCGACTGTACAAGGATTAGTTGGCTATCAGCAGCAATATGGAATAGAGTTGTAGAGTCCATATGATTGCGCATCATATACAGTAGCTTGAATAGTTGGTCGAGGACTTCAGTCATATAGTTGTATGCACTTTGATATTGTTACTTGAGGTGTAAAGTTTGTCATGAAACTCCAGCTGTGTTTATCCTTTGGATTGTTTCATTCTGTGGACAATCATGGCAATAGTCTAATCACATGGTTTGGATATTTAGGTTCGACATTGGCAGGGGGCACTTGCTCCATGTAACTGATGCTTGCTACATGCAGAAGCATCATAATTGGGTTCTGAAACAAATATCCTCTCCGAAGGTTGTGGTTTTGCCAGGGATATCGTTTAATGGCTTATGTTGCTCGTTGTCAACATAACTTGGAGCTATTCGTTTGCTTCCGTATGAAACATTTATTCTTTAAGGTGAATTATGTGCGTGCTTGGAAGAATTGTCATTTGTCAGTAAATTTTCATATAGCAACTCTTTCTTGTTCATTGAATTGGTTTTCCTTAAGTTTCTTTGTCCCTCCTCCCCTGGCAAGCTTGTTGTATATAACATATGAACCCCCCCCCCCCCCCCCTCCTCTTCCCCTTGCTCAGGCAAGGCTTAAAAAACTTATTTTTCCATACCCATGTTTGGTTCCTGCTATGGGTATTTACCTGATGGAACTTGGTTTATCTCCTTTAATATGGTGGCACTCATCTTTAAGAAGAGGGTGGGGTATCACAATGGGATCTGAAAGGAAATGCTGATTCTTGTATTTCTTGTATTGTGGAAGGATTTAGTAGATGTATAGACTGAAATTTGACAAATTGTAATTGACAGGTTAGTCTTACAAAAATATCTAAGGTGCAATCATTTGACAGAAAAAATAAAATCTGTCAGCAAGATTTGTATAGTTCCACACTTAGTTATATTGATGAGGACTGAACATTTGCCAACTGTTTTGTATCAAAAAGGACGACAGGTTGTTTGGCCCCCAACGTTATTTTTGGAGTCATTGAAATACTTGTATGGGCCCATCAGCTATCTCTGGTTTCAGATGCATTAGTTATCCACTTCACTTCAGTAATTGTGTTTTGCTTCATTTTAATTTTTTTTTTTCCCAAGCTCCGAGTTTCAGACTTCAGTCTGTCCTAACTAGATTGCAACTGTAGGGTAATCGAACTTCAGTTTTCTCTTTGTCATCTAATTTTAAAAAGGATATAACTTAAATGCATTGGCTGTACAATCTATTTTTACAGTATCAGTGTTTCTATGTCACAAAATTAGGCTTACTGTAGAGAATTACATGTTGTAGGTCTCTTTAACATGAAGGTATAAAACACTTTACGCTATCATCCAAGCGTGGATTGAGCCAAAGCAAGAAAAGAAAGGGCTCATTTGATACCCCAACCCTGCAATGAAGAATCACCTAAAACAGAAAACTTCCTTTTGTTTCCCAGATAAGATGTGAAAACAGTAGCAATATTTCTACTGAGGTTGCCTGTTGGAAACAATACAACTAAGGAGTCAGCACAAGCCAATAAGTTACAACTCCAATAACTTGCAAGAAGCACCAGCCCGGAAAGTGTTAAAGAATGTTACAAAACTCAACAAACCAACCAAGAAAAAAAGAAAATCTAATTGTTAGTCCCTTCTACAAAAAAATTGCATGAAGGAACAAAATGGAACTTGGCTCTGTAATAAAAATGGTCATAAAATTTTCTTGTAGACACTGGCTGCTTTATAAGCGAAAAAAAAATCCTTGCTTGATGGAAATGAAGCAACTTCATGGACCTTGGATTACAGCTTCTGGTGTCGCGTGTACATGCTGCTTATCAATGTCAGGATGGCTTTACAGTTAAAAATCTGCTTCTAAGTTATTAAACAGTCAAAAGGGTGGAGGGGCAGGTTTATTATCCACCGAGTTTCGAACCATGCACTAGCAGGGCACGGAGATTTCTCGGTATAAAAAAAAAAGACAGTGGTCTAAATGGCTGGTTTATTAAAGTGGCGACTGAGGAGGGCTGGTTTCAATTAGGAAGCTTCGGCTACAATAAGACCTTGATGTACTTGACGAAGAAGCTAAACACCTTCCATCACCACTGTGAAATAATTCCTCACCTTTGTGTTGCCTGGACCTACTTGATCTTCCCTTACCTTCAATCTCGTCATAGTCTTCGTCCTCCACTGATTGCACAAAGCCACTGTGCATCGGGTCTGCACACTCATACAAAAGCCTAAGTACCTGCTTGATCGAAGGCCTAGCACGTCCTTCTCTCTGTGTACACCATCTAACAATTGCTAAAAGGGTCTGAAGTTGATCAAAGTCATAAGAGTCTCCAATGTTAGGGTCTACGAGCACGGTTATCCTAGATTCTGATGTCAGGAGTATTTCAGCCCACTCTATCAAATTTTTGTTATCTTGAATTGCCCGTCTCGATGTGATTAATTCCAGTAATACCACTCCGTAACTATATACATCACTTTTCTCTGTCAGCTCTTGGGTGATGACATACTCAGGATCCATATAACCTAATAACAAAGCAAAGTTCTTTCTACATCATCAAAGTAATGAATGATGTTTCAGTTTTACTAATAACTATAATTTTCTCCAACCTGGAGTTCCCTTGATATCTGTGTTTACTGGTTCAAAGCAAATAGAACCATCCTTTGAAGCATGTGCAAGTCCAAAATCTGCAATCTGGAACAAGATTCAAGTGTCAGAAAAAAGTACTTCCTGATCATCATATTACAGAGTTAAAAGAAAAATCTGCCCTGCCAACAGATCTGATATAACAATTTGATAGGCAAGAACAAGAGAAAGATTCATAATTTGCACATGTAGTAAAGTGAACCTAGGTCCACCCTTGAATTAATGTAAGTTACCTTTGCGACAAAGTTCTCATCCAGTAATATATTGCTTGATTTGATGTCCCTATGGCACAGCGGAGGATCACAGTAGAAATGAAGATATTCCTACATGGAGGCAAAATGTAATAAGGAGGCACTGAATGTTAAGCAGCCTATAGAGTTATAATAATTGGATAGTACGTAATCAAAACTCTACCAGAGCATTTGCCACATCAATAGCAATTTGAATTCTTGCACGCCAACTGAGGGGAGTTCTACCTGGATCTTTACATATATTAAGAGAAACAGTTGAGCAAATTAGCAGAAGTTCAGTTTTAATTCATTATATTTATAACAACTACTCTAAGATGGAACCGTAATCAAAGATGCACCGTATTTTTTGTCCACCCGCTGATCTTAAAGACATAATATCTTTTAATAATAGAGTCGGAAAATAAGACTCAAAGAACAAGAGCATACTGTGAAGCAGATCCTTTAAGCTTCCATTTGCCATATATTCATACATAAGAAACCTGCTCCATGATAAATTTTCAGTATTAGAAGGAAGATGTTAATAATGTTCTGTATTGAAAGGAAGATATTAAACTAGCTTCTTCTTTTTTCATTTAAGATTTATTAACACGTGAACTAGTTAATATGTAACCTTATTTAGGAAGCTGAATAAAAACATAAGAAGGTGGAAAAAAACAAACAAGAAGTCGTATTTATGATTCCCAAACCTCTCATGCCTTTCAATGCAAAATCCCCTTAGAGCAACGAGATGACGATGATGCAGTCGAGCAAGCAGTTCTATTTCTCTGCAAAACTCATCCTCAGCCTGTTCAGAAACCTTGTTCATCCTCTTCACTGCTGCAATGTAACCATCCTTAAATTCAGCTTTGTATACGGTGCCAAATCCTCCCTGCCCTATGATTGTGCTGAAGTTGTCGGTGGCTTTTTTTGTCTCCTTGTAGCTGTATTTCTTAAATATAGAAGCTGTACCTGTGTGTATTTTGTACAACAATTAAGCAAACAGGATAAGAACCCTAAAGGTAAATTAACAGATTTTTGCAGTTTCCTGTTTGACGAGTACATAACTAGTCTAAAAGAACTATAAAAATTTTACCTTCCTGGAATCTTTTCGGCGGCTGTGTGAAAGATTTGGAAGATTTCTTATCAGTTGCATCGGAATCTTCTAGCTGTTTGCTTTTCCTCCAAATCAGAACAATTAAGACAAGCAGCATCAGGACAGCCATGACGGTAACTGCTATGCCAACATCTGGTACCAATGTAAGGTGGTAATGACGGCGATTTTGCTTAACAGGAGTACCCAAGGAAAGTTGAGTCGGGCTAGCAGCAACAGGAGGGCTTGGAGAGACCTCTGGTGAGAGTTGTGCTGGAGATGTTCCTGAAACTGGTTTAGACGTACAATGGACGTCAGAAATTTTGATATGGCTGAAAGTGCATTATGTCACTTAAATGATCCATAAAGACCTACGGTTATGGAATTTTATTTATATGCAGAAATACAAAAACAGGCACATAATTACCTGCCTAACAAACAAGGGTCATAACAGCAGTTTGCTTTGAGTGTAAAGTGAAGCTAATATGCTATAATATCACAGCCTAGTCAAAATAAGATATTGATGATATGAAGGATGTTCCTGGAAAGAATCTGAAAATGTTCAAGTCTAGGAATAGAAGATTTAAGGAATTTATGACTTATAAATAAGTTAATGATTAAGGTACAGAAGATACTGGAATCCATTTGTGTCGAGAAGTAATTACTTCAGGGGTTACGATATCACAAAGAAAACAAGAAGAAGTAGGTTTCCTTTTCTGTTTTTCCTTTTTCTTTCTTTTTTTCTTTTCCCTATCTTTTGATAGTTATAGAAGAGGCTCTGCAGGACTAGTTGCACACATTTATGTATGCTCGGACTTAGACATCAATGGAATACCTTATAAAGATTATGGATAATTGAAAGCAACTCAAGGGAATTTTGAGAAAAAGAATTCAATTTCCTAACAAATAGTCCAATGCATAAAACTTTTGGTATAATTCCTATAACTGATCTACCTAGGCTTCAATAATGAATCACACCACTTCTCTATTAAGGCGTACCTGGAGGTATAATAAGGCCATGAACCCCAAAGAAACAACGAGCAATATCAATAGCTGATGCACTGTCAACTCGGCTTGCAAGAGCAGCATAAGTTGCATCTCGGCAAGTACTAAATGTCATATTATTAGCTGCACCAACTAGATTACGGAGATACAAGATGCCAGCATTGAGGCATTTCCTACATTCACTTTCCACCGAGAGGGGGACTTGGCAGTTTTTAGTAACACTTGAAAACTGGGGAGATTGAAGCATCTGAGTGACAGTTGTTCGACCTTGGCAATCATAGTTCACAGGAATTTTTGTCCCGAACCCGCAGAACACCGTTGCATTTCTGGTCACTCCATGGAATTGGAAAGTTTCTGCTATTTTATCTAGG